AGTCTTTTCAGTAGCCAGGATATTAATAATGTCTGTCTTCCATGTGGATACTTTGATGCCCAACAAGAGGATGTATAATTTCCTTTGCAGAAGTCTAATAAAGCTAATGAAGACTCTTTTCTCTGCTTTCATGAAACTTACTATATTCTATATTCTTGAAAAGTGTGACTAGTAAATATTTCTGAGGCTTCTGCACTTCAGACTTGATCTGAAGTGATGAAAATGTCCCAAATGTATTGTGGGTAAGTGCCAGACAAGCAGATGCTTGGAACTACACAGAATGTGTTCACTAAGTTTTATTTTCTCACAAAATGAATCTCAGAAGCTTGACTAATTTTGGACATTTTTTCACACTGAATGGCTTATGATGGTGTCTTCATTTCAGCAAAGAGCTAGTAAAAGTCATGTGTGATCTAACAGGCCTACACCTGGTTTCTTCTGGACTTAACATATCTTGCTGCATTTCCTAGGACCTAGGATGTAAGCACGTTCTAGGATATTAGTGCTCTAGGGAAACTAAAGCCACTAGACAGACATATTGTCCAGCAGCCAGGGGTCCACATCTTTGCCAGAGAAGCTACAAATATATTATTTTTCTTCTGGGTCAAAACCACTGTGAAAATGAAAATCTTCACGTACACACATCTGCCTCTACAGTCTAACTCTTCCTAAATACTACCAATCTAGGACTACTTCCAGGGTAGTCAAGCTCTGCATCTGGGGGTTAGGTTTCCTGTTCACATAAGTTCACTTAAGACAGAGATAAGAGTACATTAAGAATGAGGAAAAGAGCAGCTCCCAGAAAAGAAAATTCAGTTCCTCCACAGCACCTAAAAAAAAATGAAGAAAGGTATATTAGCTCACCTGTACAGTCCCTGGAAACTGTGTCCCAGGGTACTTGAAGACAGTAGAATCAGAGCCACTACCCATCCACCCCTCCTTTTTTTTTTCAGTCTCTTTTTTTCCCAGCCTGCATGGTGCAGCATATTTTTCTGACGGTTACCTTGTACTTGGTGCTGTGGTAGGCAAAGGTTACTAGAATTTATATGAAAAGTTCAATGAATATAGAATTTAAAAATGCCTTGGAGACATTGCTGAAATGAGATGCCAAATCCCAGAATTTGTATCTTTATGAGGAAAATTTGAATACAAAACACCAAGGTTTATGGCTCTTGCACATATTAATTCATACCAATCCTTGTTCTAAGAGGACTAAAGGGGCTATTTTTCATCTTGGGCTGAGACAGGAACTCTTCCAGATTCACTGACTTGCTGTGAGAAGTATACTTTATCAGGCTGATAGATACCTTTAAAATGTAAATCAGAATGGTGAGCTTATCACAAGACTGCCATTAGCAGCCTATAAAATTCTTGATGTTGCAGGTCACAAGACATTTTGGGAACAAGGTGAGAAAACTGGTCAGCAAAAACAGACCCTTAACTTGACACTTTATAATATGTCTTAAATCAAAATTACCAGAACTGAAAAAAAAAAATATTACACATCCACCCCCTTGACAGCTAGCAATTACCTTGATTTTGTGGGAGGGTTTAGATTTTAAAAGATATTATTATAATTGTGCAGACTCAAGAAATGTAGTATTCCCTGGAATCACCCCTGAAAATGTTCAAGGCCAGGTTGGATGGGGCTCTCAGCTGCCTGGTCTAGTGAAAGGTGATCCTGCCCATGGGAGGGAGGTTGAAACTAATTGATCTTTAAGGTCCCTTCCAACCCAAACCATTTTACGATTCTATTATTCTCTGAATTCTTACCTCATCTTCTGCCCAAGTGCTTTGTCTTTCCAGAGAGAAAAAGGAAAACTATTTGTTCTATGGAACCCCCCAATGTTCTCCTTAAGGAGCTCTGTGCAATTTTTTGTCTCCAATGTCCTACAAGTAGTCCTTTGGGTTCATACCTTTTTTGTTGTGTTGTAAACTATTCACTTCAGGTTTACATTTCAGAAACACTCAAGGCTCAGAAGCTTGAAATAATGATGCTAGCAAAAGATCACAAAGGATAGACATTTCCTCTGCAAACAAACAATATTCACATTAATACTTTCAAATGTATTCAATTACTGGAATGACAGTGGCCATGATATTTCCATCCCTGTAAGGCTTTTACTGATTTTTCCTCTTGCTGGTAAAAGCACATGCTGCACTCTATGTCTTTTTCATGCACACGTGCAAGCACACACGGGCAGATGATGTGCTTTCAAGCCATTCGCAGATGGTTTCCCCATCAGGGTTTACTTTGCCTTTTAGGCCTCCTGCTTCACATCCTCCTCTCAGTGCTTCAGTCCCTGTTTTATGTAATTAACTTCTGTTCTGCCCCTCATTTTTTTTTCTTTTCATAAATGCATTTCACTCTGATGCTCAGAATCTACTGTCTCCCCAAAGCACTGTGATATTTAACAGCATCCAGAAAAAACGTGGTTAGAGAACTGAGACACTTAAAGGAGACACTGCTGTAGTAAGTGTGCATTCACATTTTTGAATAGATATTCAGAGGGTGGGAATGCAGATGAGGGAGAAGCTATGAAAGGGCTTATTACTAATTAACTGTATCTATTTCTCTCCCTTTTAAACTTCTTTTTGTTTATCATTTCAGCTGGTAGGGTAATACACTAAATTAAAGCTGCAGAACACAATTATAATTAAGATTGAAAAAGCCAATTGCCTGTTAGCAAACTACCAATTGATAATAATGTATGGCTTATTTATAGTTCATTGCTAAGTATTCCACAGATTTGCATCAATAATGCATTTGCTAATCTCCAAACATTTTGTTCAGTAGCCTTTTATTTACTATTGAAGGTACAATTACTCTTCTTAAGCCATCCTTTCTAAAAGGATGCCCAACAAGAGGTGGGCTTTCATCTTGTTTGCAAAGTTCAGCAAACATATGCTGTAGTCATTTCCTCCCCTATGAAATACTAATAATGTTATATAGTTACTATCATCACATCATGCAGAAAACCTTGCCGTAAAAATCATACTGTACATTGTTCAGTACTCATAGCATCTTTCATTTCTACAGCTGTTTTTTCTGACTCATCTCATGTATTCTAGAGAGGAGATACCAAACCATCTTACCCAGCGGAGGGATTGGGAACCTTTGGTCAGAGTCCCAAACACTGGGCCCCAGTTTTCATTCCTTTCACAAGAAAGTAGAGCAAGACCTGTTTAAAGAGTTTTTTAAAAATTACTCGTGATAGATTTTGTTTTGTATTTGGTGTGTATTACTGGGAGTTTAATAACTTTTATATATTCTTTTAATTATTATAAAAAGTCTGCATAACTGTCATTTCAGATGTGTGATGGAATGTAAATAATTGTGATGCAACTTTTTTGGGAAGTGTGTTTTTTGTGACAGATGAGTTTGAGTGGCCTTGTAGTACTAATTATTGGAGTTATCCCATCATATGTGTGGCAGTTACAGAACTAGCTTAGGCACTAGTGACTTTCTGGTATACACTGACTAGGCGTTACAGGGGCAATCAATTAACACAAGGGTGTCTTATCTCTCATTGTGCCATGATGTCTCTTGAAACACAAGTGCAAAAAAACTCCTAAACCTATGAGCACTGCATGATTGAGAAGGGATATGCCATATACCAAAGACCAAGGATAGTAATGCAAGTTTATGTGGTGGATGTAGGTTAAGGAGAGACAAAATGGCTATGTTGAATACTACAAGCTGAATTACGCCTGTAGCTACTGCCACAGGTGAGAGTCTTGGAGACTAGAGCATATCATCTTATCAAAAAAACCTGAGGAATCCTTTACAAAAATATAGCTCTTTGTCTCCCTGCTGCTTTACTCAGAAGGAGAATGAGGGTTAGAAATGAATGATCTACCCATTCCTCAGCCCTTCTTGATAGCACGGTCTGTGAAAGGGAGAGACAGAAAGAAAGCAAGTTTACCCATGTCCTGCACATGTGGAAGAATATCAGCAAACTTGTGTAAGTAGATATTCCCAAACCCGAAGCAGGGCTGCGACTTTTCCCAGTCACAACTGGCCCTGTGAGCCAGCCTGTAAATACATTTAGTTTATTCTTCAAAGACAGATACCTTACAGTTCAAGCTGGAAAAGCGTGTGAGAGCTGAAAAAAAAGGGAAATAGTGGTGCAAAGATGAATGGGCAGGATGCAAGGAAGGGCCATGGAGGCAGGCAAGAGCTTCGCTGTCACTATGACAAGAGGAATTGCAGTCTGAGAGCACAAAGTTGTCAAAAATCTTGCCAGGAGACTAATGTAGCACAGATTTCCCCTGGATGCATTCTCTTAGGAGCTGGATGTGGTCATCCTTTCCATAGGTTGGCTGAGCACAGGTGAATCCAGGTGACAATCGTGCAAGTAATTTCTTCTTCCTGTACTGTCTATCATTAATTTTGTTATGGGTGGGTAAGTGACTTGCCCCAGAACTGGCCAGATAATTACATTGTCATTATTAACCACATTACTGACAGGGAAAAAATGCAGTTATTTTTATCCATAAAATCAGCTGCTTCAACCCTAAGACTAATTCCTCATTATTTTGCAGCAGTAAGTAATTGTTATACATAATATTTCTAGCTCCTACCCTCAAAGAAGCAGACAGTACTCCAAATGAAATCTTTCAGGATTTTTAGTAAGCCATGCAATCTGATGATGGGATTTGTTCACTACTAGCCACTCAATAAAAATTATAATACTGTAACTAGAAAATAGGCAGTCATGAGACCCTGTTACAAGGCATAAGGACTAGCAATTCCTATCCTGTTTAGATTTGGAATCAAACTCACCTCTTTTTTCTTTAGAAAAAAATACTTTACCTGGAGAAACATGCTTCTATAACATTTATCCTTCACATCCTGAAGTCCTGATGCCTTTAGGTGTGACTCCTGAGAGGAGGCACTGCAAAGTCTTGATGGAGGTAGATGTTAGGTAAAACATAAGAGTAAACTTATTTATATCATAACTGCTGATATTCCTTGTATCTCTATTCATTTCTTTCAGGTACTGCTGCGTGATTTACAATGGAAAAATTGTTCTGCAGCATCCTGGTGTTTGGAATGGCTGTCACAGTCAATGCTTGTCCCAAATATTGTGTCTGTCAGAACCTGTCTGAGTCACTGGGGACTTTATGTCCCTCCAAGGGTCTCCTTTTTGTGCCGCTGGACATAGATCGAAGGACTGTTGAACTCCGTCTTGGGGGCAACTTTATTATTAATATCAGCCGACAAGATTTTGCCAATATGTCTGGACTTGTTGACCTTACTTTGTCCAGAAACACCATCAGTTACATACAGCCCTACTCTTTCACCGACTTGGAGAGCCTTCGGTCTTTACATCTGGACAGCAACAGACTACCTGACATTGGAGAGGATATTTTGAGAGGTTTAATTAACCTTCAGCATTTGATTTTAAACAACAACCAGCTAAGCAGCATTTCTGATGAAGCCTTTGAGGATTTTTTGCTGACATTGGAAGACTTAGACCTTTCCTACAATAACCTCCGAAGCATTCCCTGGGAATCTATAAGAAAGATGATAAACTTGCACCAGCTCAGTTTAGATCACAACCTGATAGATTATATAACAGAGGGGACATTTGCAGATCTTCAGAAACTGGCCCGATTGGATCTAACATCCAACAGACTGCAGAAGCTTCCCCCTGACCCTATATTTGCCAGATCTCAAGTAATTCCATTAGCCGTTACCCCATTTTCTCCACCTTTGTCTCTCAGCTTTGGGGGCAATCCACTGCATTGCAACTGTGAGTTACTGTGGTTAAGGCGACTTGACAGAGATGATGATATGGAAACTTGTGCTTCTCCTCCAGGTCTAAAGGGAAGGTACTTCTGGTACGTACGGGAAGAAGAATTTGTTTGTGAGCCTCCTCTTATCACACAACATACTCACAAGCTGCTGGTTTTAGAAGGGCAAACTGCTACGCTGAAATGCAAAGCCATTGGGGATCCCACTCCCATCATTCACTGGGTAGCCCCTGATGACCGTCTGATCGGAAACTCTTCGAGGACGGCTGTCTATGACAATGGCACCTTAGATATACTCATCACCACCTCCAAGGATTATGGAACTTTCACATGCATAGCAGCCAATGCTGCTGGAGAGTCCACTGCAACAATTGAACTCTCAATTGTTCAGCTTCCCCATCTCAGCAATGGCACAGGCCGATCAGCTCCCCCGAAATCCAGGCTCTCCGACATCACCAGCTCCACCAAGTCAAATCGTGGGGAAACAAAAGGCCCACCAGAAAGGGCTGTCCTGGTGTCAGATGTGACCACTACCTCAGCTTTGGTCAAGTGGACAGTGAGCAAGTCGGCCCCTCGGGTAAAAATGTATCAGCTGCAGTATAACTGCTCGGATGATGAAGTCCTGATCTACAGGTAAATGCAGTTGTTTGGTCCTCTGATGATGACAAGGGGGCAGAAATCAGCATATAGATTCTTTTACTGCTAGGTCACTGATTTCACTTTGAAGTGAGATAGCACTGTCACCAGTAGCATTAGTAGTGTCTGACAAATTTAAATTCTATCTGTCAGTTTGCCTGTTGTCTGTTCATCGCTTTTCTGCCAAAGTAATACATTACAAATTTCTGTAGTATTCATTGTCTAACAACAGCTGTTTTCAGTGAAATTTCCAATTAAGGAAAAAATAGTACTGCAGTTAGTAGACTCCTTACTAGGCATAACAAAGAAAGGAATACTTGAAGACTAGAAGTCAGAAATTTCCCTTTCCACCTCCTGTAGGTGGGATTGAAACACACTACTGAGAGAGGAAGCAATGTGGGAGGAAGTTTATGCTGTCTACCCATAACACAGACTCTAATTACTCTGTGATTTAAGATCTGGGGTTGTTAACAAGAGATTTTTCACCTGTATAAAAAGACCTCATTTTTTAATTCACTAAGAACTGTTTTACACAATTGTAATGGCTGACAACTTTGTATTAATGTTTTATACAATATTAAATGCAAGAAGAGATAATTTCAGATGCAAGCCCTAAATGTTCCTTATGTTCCTCCAGTTCTACAACCCCTCTGACTTTTAATGATGTAAAGCAAGAATTGCTCTTGCAGTGAAGCAACAATAAATTTTAGAGATTAAAAATGTGTAGGAACAGTACAGGAAAACAGCATTACTGTTTTTTCCTTCTATATTATAGGAATGATTGACATAGTATCTTCATGCTAGTGATGAATCCCTAGAAACCACCTTTTCCTTTCTTTTAATTGCAAAGGAAGGACTATCAGATACATTGAACTGAAGTCTCTCTTTGGCTGTATGTGAGCTACCAGCAGAAGTCATAATCTCATGGAAAAGTAGAACCAAACACATAAAGCATCCTGAAGCACTGAAGAAAAATTTGATTTGGTAGAGGAATAATGGGTTTTAGGGTTTGACTCTAATTTGAGTATAAACTGAGGCCAAAACACAGTCAAAGCCATTGACTTCCTCTGTAGGCTTGCTGTTATTACCCACTGGCTACTCTGTCCTTCTCCTACTGCCTATCGAGGAGAGCTGAGGCACACATCAAGTCACCGTACCCAGCCTCCAGATCCCAAAACAGGCCTTGTTATTTTCTTCTTTACCATAGCATAATTTTCTTCACCATGAGGAAATATAATTTTACTGCCTCAAAATAAGAGGTAGTAAATGTTCATATGTCATTTTTCCCTCACCCTTCTCTTACAATGAAATCTAATTTTAAAGTTTCTTCATAGCTGAATGTCTGTGCAGTACTTTTATCTGAATCACTTGTAGAACAGAAAGAATAAGATAATTTATTTAGCTACTCCGTACTCATTCATTGTCAAAATTAAGAATCCTGACCATCAAGTCCAAAGAACAATTTTTTAAAAGAATATTTATTAAAAATACTAAAATAATCTGAGGAAATTCAGTTCTGTCTACTTCCATTCCTCAGTTATAAAAATATGCTGAAATAATCAAAACAATTAACAAGTGGACATTATTTGCTTTGCTCTGGCTACAGAGCAAAGTGGAACAGCGGAATAGTGGAACTTGTGTGTTAGCTTTGGGACTTGCAACTATATGGCGTTAAGTAGAATGAAAGGATAAGATAAAACTAGATAATGATAGAGAATTATAATTAGAATGAAAGAAAACATGCCAGTTCCATTTTTTTCCCAAGGCAATGCTTTTGGCAAAAACTCACCAGTGTTTAACATCTGTAAGGCTGAAAAGTACTCTGAAGGATGTTTATAGTCATATGTTTGTTGTATAGCGAATTTGGCCCAGCGTACAGGAATATCCCTGCAACCAGAAAGAGAAGCTTGCAGGAGTTGTCAGGTGTTGGAAGTGGTTGCATGTGTCCATTATCTGAGGAGCAGGATGGCCAGGTAAAAAAACAAACAATGGAGAAGGGAAGACATGCTGTCTAGTAGTTGAGTGGATGAGAACTTGGTGTCATGGACAGAAATGACAGAAAGATGCTATCTTGCCAACCTGGTCTAGAGGAACAAGTGGCTGTCAAAGTGTCAGACAACTCTAAATTTTTATCCCATCTCCAATGCTTCCTCTCAGTGAGGATTTGGCCCTTTGTTGCTTTACATGTTTGTGGCTCAGTTTTTCAGAAGCAGCGAGGAAAGTGCTATTTCTGTAAATCTCCCATCAGGCCTTTTTGATGATTCATTGATGATGCATAACTCTTTTCATTCACAGCTCTCAAAAGCACTTCACCAAAGAAAACAAATTTTATTTCTCTACATTTTACACAGGGAAAAATGAAGCATAGAAAGATGAAGTGATTGTCCAGCATCTGAGAGTTAATCAATGGTACTCATAATATCAAAACCAGTTCTTATGACTTCCAGTCAGGGAATCACTCAGTCCCTTAGAGTTAATTAACTAAATCTGTTTTGCTTTAAGTGGTCGGATGCATATCACTGCAATGAGCGTGTAGAAAAACCTAAGGGAAAAGGATTTCTACAGTGCTCTGCTCTATAAAATGCTGTGTATGTGCTAAATGGGACGTGACACTGCTTAGCTGCTAAAATGATGAGCACTTAATATATGCTAAGATAGTCAGTATATCAGGACTGAGACACATTGTCTATGCTCAGCTTGAAGGAATCCTGCTAGTAAGAAACATATGCACAAGAGAAAGAAATTTGCTGCATTCTCTGATAAGAATTTTTCATGAACAATGTACACATACTGAAAGAATGAAAGCAGAAGTTCTCCCCTACCCATTGATGTGAGCCCCATCTCTCCTGATCATTACCCAAGACACCAGTGCGATTCCCCTTTCTGTCCTAACTGTGGTCTTCCACCAGAGCTGCAGATGGTGCAAAGGGGACAATGGCTCCATGAGAATTCAAGGTTTGGGAGATAGTGGCAAGTGTTCTCTGTTGGGCATCCTGCTCACACGGAGCTGAAATTGTACCAGAATCTGAAGTTTGGCTTTGGATATACCAGTGCCATTAGAATGACAATTAGCAGGAGGAGCATTTTTTATCTGCTTCCCCATCTGACCTTCACTTGTATTTGCTATCTCAGGGCCTTTGCTGAAGCTAGTAGCCTGTTTTGATGACTTTCAATGCATTTAGAATGCATGTTTCTGATACTGATCTAATGAGTACTTCCTGGATCAAAACTCTGTTCCTCACGGTTTCCCAGAGAGTGAAGGAGAAGCTAGAGGAAGAGAGTCATAGCTTGTGCGCGTCCCAGAGGCAGCTTCGTCAATGTCAAACTGCAAAGACAACAGCTGCCCTAACATGGACACCAAATCAATAGCCTGAGGCTGCCCAGAGGTGACATGCTGTGTTATCTTTACCACATCATTGGGAGAAGGGAACATTCTCTATTTAGTGGAGCATGCACTTAGCTCTTAGTGGTATCTCAGAACTTCTTTTGTGCCTTGACCTCTGCTTCTATTGAAAAAGATCCTGCAACAGGGTCCTGTGTAGGAGATGTGTGTCCCACACAGGCAAACACCATCACTTTACTGATCTGTGTGTGCTCCCAGTGGATTCTTTCCTTCTCTCTGGCTAGTCCTTGCACTGTTTTTTCTAATCCTACTGTCAAGATAATATTGTTTCACCTGGAACAGAACTAGGATTACTCTCTTTCTAGGAAGAGTGAGAGGAAAGCTTGTTATGTTTTCTGTATGGGTTTTTTTGTTATGTTTTTTGTTTGGTTGGTTGGTTTTGGTTTTTTTCGGGGGGTTGTTTTGGGGTTTTTTTGGGGTTTTTTTGGGTTTTTTTTGTTTTGTTTTGTTTTAATTTGCATTCTTTCTCCTTTCTGATTTTTGTTGCTTATTGATTCTAAATTTCCTTTTCTCTTCACTCTCCTTAATTGTCATGTTCATTTTCATGGTATTCAAACCCAGATGGAGAAAATGGAAATTGTTGGTCATGTTACAAAACCTCCTCATGTGCAGAAGGTGTCTGTAACAGTCTAATAAAGCTACGATGATCCCAGCTATGGGGACAAAGGCTGGAATGATTTGTTGAACACGCAAGTGCTATTTAAGGGTCTCAGGGGCTTCCATGTTAGTGAGGAGGCAGGGTTATTCCAAACAGGGGATTCCACAATCTATTAACATTTCCAGTAACGAGGTGACATAAGAAGAAAAATGGATTTACATTTCTCAGATCTAGTTTTTACATTTGGGGGAAAAAGGATTTGATATTTCCAGTAAGCAAGATTATACTGGGGAAGGGTGGTCAGCTTTTCCCAAAATAAGGATTTACACAGGGAGGGAGAAAACAATGAGATATCTGAAAGCATCATGCAAAGTCTCTCTACTTCCTGCTGTGGGAGATCAGGACAATCCACATGAAATGAGTGTCAATGGTCTTGTCTGGTCTTTTAGATGATGGTTTTTTTCCCCAGCCTCTGTGGCCCAAGGTTTCCTGTTTAATCCTAGCAGTTCCTTTTCTGTTGGTATCTGAATTTCAGACTGCAACAGGTATCCTCTGTTCATATACACGGGTTAGGAGGGCACAGCCTTTTAGAGTGGATATTAACAGTTCTCTGAGAACTGCAAGTAATTTTTTTAAACTACTGTCCCATAATAAGGTCCCTTGGCCAGCACATGTAGCCATGGCTCATAATTCTCTGACCAACAAACCAGATCTACATGGGCACTGATAAGATGTGTCCACAAGTGTTGAGGGATGTGGTTTAACATCAGTGAGAGGCCATTTACTTTGAACAATAATGGCATTTGGAAAAGATATCTGAGACTGGAGGCAATCAAATATAATTCCTATCTTCAAACCAGGCAAGAAGGAGGACCCAGGGAACTATAGGCCTGTCAGCCTCACCTCCAGCACCTGGAAAGGTGATGGAGAAACTAATCCTGGGAACATTTAGAGAAACATGTTGGATAAGAAGATAGATGATTGGGAATCATCAGC